CTCAATTTTTGGTGATTCTATGAATTGAACACTTCCGAAACATCCTATCATTAACAGCCTTAGTCAGATCTTGCAAACTGAAGGCCATGGCTTCCTTTATCGAGGCAATCTATCTCATATTGGATGTTCCTCTTTTCCTGCTGCTTTCAACTTTTCCTAGCCCTATTGTCTTTTCCAGTTTGTCTTGTGTCTTCTCATGTGACCCAATTTCAATAACCTCATTTTGGCTTCCAGGGGGAGTTCAGGCTCGATTAGATCTAGATCCCACCGATTTGTCTTCTTGGCAGTCCGCAGTACCCATAAAACTCTCCTCCAACCCCACATTTCAACGGCATCAACTTTCTTCCTGACATCTTTCTTCACTGCCCAACTAGATTAACGCTTGAAAGGCTCATAGTCTAATTCACACAACAGCCTTGACTCTTCTCTTCTCCATTAGGGCTGCCGACCTCCAGGTGGTAGCTTATGGTTGCCAACAATGTTCCCTCTAAGCTGAGTTAGTGTGAGCTAGCTCACAGTTTTTTAGCCTCCAGCTCACACCTTCTCTTTGCTCAGAAAGGATGGCTCCAGAGCAACCTAATTTATGCAGTAGCCAAATTGCTTGCTCACAACTTTAAGGGCAGTAGCCATCACAGGGTAGAATTTTTGCTCACAACTTAGAGAGAGCGTTGGTTGCCAACTCCAGGTTGGGAAATACCTGGCGATTTTGGGGGGAGGAGCCTGAAGACGGTGGGGTATGGGGAGGGGAGGAACTTAAATGGGGTATAACGTCTTAGAGTCCACCTTCCAAAGCAGCCATTTTCTCCAGGTGAACTGATTACGGCCACCTGGGAATCAGTTGTAACAGTGGGAGATATCCAGCCACTGCCTGGAGGTTGGCAATCCTATGGTAGCTGATCTCCCACTATTACAACCAATCTCCAGGTGACAGAGATCACCTGGACAAAATGGCCACTTTGGGAGGTGGGACTCGGTGGCATTACACCCCATTCAAGTCCCTTCCCTCTCCTCCCCAAACCCCACTGTCTTCAGGGTTCACCCCCCTCCCAAATCTCCAGATGTTTCCCAACCAGGAACTGGCAACCCTATTTCCCACCTTATCTGACAAAGCGGGCTGTGACACCCTCAAATGCACGTACTGAATAGGGATGTGCATTTGGTTCGTCCGAACTGAATGCACCCCTGAAAATGGCCCATTCGGACCCCTTTCAGGCTGCTGCAGGCCGATTCAGATTCTCTGATCTGAATCGGCTTGCCCCCGAGTTTCAAAAACATTGGACTCCCCAATCGGAGCCTACTGCCAAAATTGACTTTTTCCCACCACAGAGAACAATGGATAGGGATAGGGGCAACCTGTTTGGGGGCCCGTAAAATTGGACCCCCTGGTCCAATGCTGTTGGTATCTTGGGGAGAGGCTCCAGCAGCTACCCTGAGAGTTTGGAGTCTCTTCCTCAAGCCCCCTCCCCTCCAGCCCCCAGAATATACCCTATGTTTTCACCATTGACTTCAATGGCCCATAGGATATAATGGGGCTGAAATTGACATTGGTTGGCGGAAAGACTCCCCAATGGCTGGTACTGATGAAACTGACATATGGGAGTCTTACTGCCTGCCGAAATTGATTCTGCCGAATCCGAATGGGCCGAAATTATTTATTTTTTTGCACACCCCTAGTACTGAAATAATGGCTGTCAGTCTTTTTAAGGTGCCGCTGGGTTTTTGTTTCCAAGACACTTCAACAGCTGGTCCTTTTATTGGCCCAGGAGCTTCACCAGAGAAAAAACTGGCAACCTTTCTCCTGCTCAAAATATACCAGAGGAAGGTTGCCTGATGCCTCTAAAGTCAAGAGTCGCCTGCCGGTTTGCCCTACCAGAGGATTTCAAGTTACACGGAAGAGTTATTTATCACACTAGACTCTGAGAAACCTAATCGCCTCTGCAGGTGAATCTAGGCCACCGGCTTGAGGGCAGGCCCTTTTATTTTTGCTTTGTCACCTGACTGGACATGAATGCTCAGGTCAGTGCACTGCATGTCTCGGGATACAGAGCCATTCTACAGGGAAGCCCGTAGGCCGGTGGGCTTCCTTGGTTGAGTCAATCCATCTCATGGATTTTTATTTAACCTCCAGGAAGAACAGGAATGAGGGAGGGTGGGTGGGTGGGTGTTCCCAGTTATCCAAGCGCTACAGCACTAGTTGGGAAAGAACGTTGTGTTTCAGGCATGTGAGAGTCCAGTTTAGATTCGTGCTCTGCTCCAAAGCTTATGTCAGAGCTTTGAGTCGGTTGACATTTTAGGGTTGCCAGCCTCCAGGTGGGGCCTGGAGATCTCCCGCTTTAACAACTCATCTCCAGCTGACAGGGATCAGCTCCCCTGGAGAAAATGGCTGCTTTGAAGGGTGGACTCTATGACATTGTCCCATGCTGAGGCCCCTCCCCAAACCCCGCCCTCTCCTGGATCCATCCCCAAAGTCTCCAGGTATTTTCCAACCCAGACCTGGCAACCCTAGATCTTTCTCAGCCTAACCACGTTAAAGACATAGAAGAAGAAGAGATTGGATTTATACCCCACCCTTTGCTACCTGAGTTTCAGAGCAGTTTACAATCTCCTTTCCCTTCCCCTCCCCACAACACACACCCTGTGAGGTTAGGTGGGGCTGAGAGAGCTCCTTCAGGAACTGCTTGTGAGAGAACAGCTCTGAAGGAACTTGTACTGACCCAAGGTCACACCAGCAGCTGCATGTGGAGGAGTGGGGAATCAAACCTAGTTCTCCCAGATTAGAGTCAGTGCTCCTAACCACTACACCAAACCGGCTCTCAATGTGAAAAGGATAGAATGTGAAGAGGATATAGTTGCTGCTTTGGAGGGCAGACTCTATGGCCTTGTACCCCGCTGAGGTCACTGTCCTCCCCAGGCTCCACCCCCAAATTTCCAGGAGTTTCCCAAGTTGGATCAGGCAACCCTACCCCCCCCCCACCACCAGTGGTCAGGGTGGACCTAGCAACCCTGGGTGGGGGAGGGACGTTTAGTCTCTTCTCAAGGGACAGCAATAAGTGAATTTCCTAAGACCGTTTAACAAAAATGCAGATGTAGACATATACAAAGAGTTACATTGCAAGACAATTATTCATGTCTTCAGAGCTGCTCTTAGAAAGGATTCTTTTTCCTGCTTAAATTTCATAAGTGCAGATTTGAGAACATTGTTTTAAGTTGCTTTCAGCTGGCTTTCTTGCAGACTTTAAAACCGTCTAATAAAAATGTATCTCTTGGACACAAAAACTTTGTTGGTTTTAAAGGTGCCGCTGGACTCAAACTTTGTTCTAATAAAAATGTGTTAGCAGATAATATATCTGTCTACCTTACTTAGGAATTCCCCCCCCCCTCCTTACTCCGGAAGCGTGTTTGGTTGACTTCTTTCTTAACCCTAAACTTAGGTTACAAGAGAAATTGTCATGACTGATAATGGATGACAAATGTAATACAAATCTAATCTAAAAAAATTACTTTGCACTTAAAAAAATAATTGTAGAGAGCTCGTAACCTAATATTTACCTGGAAGTGATAATGTAATTTTATGATGTACGTTTAAAGACGGGATTTAAATGCTGTAAACAAAAAGTTCACAGGCTTGGTCTGCAAGTAGAACAGCTAGATTTGAATCCAGTGCTGCCTTAGAGACCAACAATAGCTTCTGGGTACAAGCTTTCAAGAGTCAAAGCTCTCGTCAGAAGCATTGGCTCTCAAAAGCTCATACCCTGAAACTCTTCTTGGTATCTAACATGCTGCTGGACTCCAAAATAGAAATAAGTGTCATCAAAACCAACAGGACCTGCCATCCAATCCTATAGATATTTCCTAAATGCTTAAGAACAAAAGAAGAGCCCTGCTGGGTCAGACCAATGGTCCATCTAGTCCATCCTGTCTCACACAGTGGCCAACCAGTTCCTCTGGAGGGCCAACAACAGGGTGTAGAGGCCAAGGCCTTCATTAGAAGAGTCCTGCTGGGTCAGACCAGTGGTCCATCTAGTCCAGCAACCTGTCTCACACAGTGGCCAACCAGTTCCTTTGGAGGTCCAAGAAGATGGCATAGTGACCAAGGCCTTCCCCTGATGCTGCCTCCTGGCACTGGGATTCAGAGGTTCAGTGCCTCTGAATGTGGAGCCTACTAGCCAGTCATCATGGCTAGTTGCCACTAATAGACTTATCCTCCATGAATCTATCGAATCCCCTTTTAAAGCAGTTCATTCCTGTGGCCATCACTACATCCTCTGGCAGCGAATCCCGCATTTGAAACACTCTGCATTGTGGCCACTGTTCCAACAGCCACAAAAGCTAGTCCTGGATTGCAGCCAGTGTTCCCTCTAAGCTGAGTCAGTGTGAGCTAGCTCACAGTCTTTTAGCCTCCAGCTCACACATTTTTGTCTTCGCTCAGGAAGGATGGCTCCAGAGCAAACTGATTTACACAGTGGCCAAATTACTTGCTCACAACTTTAATGCCAGCAGCTCACCAAGTAGAATTTTTGCTCACAAGACTCCACAGCTTAGAGGGAACATTGATTGCAGCCATCGACTATTTACATGTCAAAGAAACGCAGCTGAACGTAGAATCACGATGAACGCATCTGACAGGAAACGGAGGAGGGAAATGCCCCGGGGCCTCTTACAAGAAGGCGACTGGGTTGCAAATCTGAAAGGAGACAGAAGACTCTAACGGCTCGAGAAAGACGCGTGTCCGTTCGGCTCGTCCGAAGCAACCTTCGCTTGAGGAAAAGATGCAGCTCCAGGCGCAATAACCCCGTCATGCATTTCTGCAGTTGAGCGCCGAGGAGCGGGACGGGCGGCTGTGCAACCGCAGCGCTGCCACGGGGGGAGGAGGGTGGAAGGGGAACGCTCCGCACTGACGCCGGGGAGAAGCCCCAGCCGCCGGCTCAGAGCCGGGAGTTCGGCGGGGAGACGAAGCGGAGCGTCATCAGCCTGCGACGGCCAGGAGGCAGCAGCGAAAGCACGTGGGAGACCGGGCGAGGGAGCGCTTCTCCGGGCTGCTCCACTTCCTGGAGGCGACTGCGGGCTCGCCGAGAGGTAAGGAAGCGGCCCGGGGAGCTTTCCGTGGCAGGGGAGGCACACACGAGACAGGCGCCTTTGCGGCCTCCGTCAGCAGCGGCGACTCTGCAGGGTCAGGGGTTGGAGGTAGGGATGCCAGCTTCCAGGTGGGACCTGGGGATCCCCTGGAATGACAGCTCATCTTCAGACTACAGAGATCAGGTTCCCTGGAGAAAATGGGTGCTTTGAAGGGTGGACTTTCTGTGGCACTGTACCCCACTGAGGTCCCTGCCATCCATCCCCAAATCTCCAGCAGTTTCCCAACCTGGATCTGCCAAACCTACCCTTCCATCCCCTGCCGATGGCCAGGGAGCACCTGGCAACCTTAGCTGAAGGCCTTTCACACACACACACAGAAACACACACACACACACGTGTAGGGTTGCCAGTCTCCAAGTGTGGCCCGGATCCCTCCCACCATTACAACTGATCTCCAGACTACAGAGATCAGTTTCCCTGGAGAAAATGGCTGTTTTGGAGGGTGGGCTCTATGGCTTTGTACACTGCTGAGGTCCCCCTCCGAACCCTGGGCTCCATCCCCCAAATCTCCGGGTATTTCCCCACCCAGAGCTGGCAACCCTGCCTTCGTGCTTGAGCCTTCTAACGGGAGATTCCTGGGATCGGACCTGAGACCTTCTGCCTGCCAAGCAGGGGCTCTACCACTCTGCCTGGGATATTCGTGTCTCTTCCATGAAGACAGCCCCTCCCTTTTTAAATTGAGTTTATTACAATATATATACAAAACAAGAACACATCAGTATTGTACAACCTTCTGATAAGTAAGATATGGAACATATAAGCTGCATAGAACATCATACAAAAATACTTCTCTGTAATGTTGCGTTAAAGAAGTGGCTCATCACACCGAATTTAAATCAACCGACTATCAAACATAGCATATAATCTTTTTAATGTCGGATATTAAACAAGTTCATATGAACCAATTTTTTAGGAACCACATTGTGAGAAGCCAAATAAGCTAACACAGGAAACTACTTTACTCCAAATTTGGAGTAGATATCCATATTACTCTGAGTTATTTGCTCAGTGACTTTTTCCCCCATTATAGGCTGCGGTCACACGGAACAGTAGCCACGCTAGAGAGATGGAAGATAGGCGGATTTTCCGGGTGCGATCTCACCGCCACATCTGGGAAGCGTAGAGCTCCCGTGGCTCAACCGAGGCTTCCCTCCAAAGACGCGCGGCAAAAAACTAGTACCTCGGAGGTACTAGTTTCCGGAAACCACGGGGCAAGGGCGGACGTCTGATCGTGTTTTCGGTGGCATCCGGCGCCTGCCCATGTCCCCTCGCAAACAGGTCATTTTTTTCCCCAAGGCTCCACGGATGCGCACAAGCACCCAACGGAGCATGCGCACACTTCAGTTTAAAAAAGTAAAAAAACAAAACAACAACCCTGTTTGCCGCGCCGCCCCGCTTCTTTGCCTGTGGTGTGATTGGCACCTCCCCCCTAGCCACGGGACTTCGACGGGACCTCAACCGGACATCTGATCTCCCCGTCGTGCGTTAGTTTGCCCCAGGGCAAACAGCCACGCTCCCCCCCCGCATTTTCCAGCCCGTGTGCCATATATAGCGATTCCATATCTTGTTATGCCACATATTTATGGAAGGCCCTGCCTTGTCTCTCCATTTAGCAGCTATAGCTGTTTTTTGCTGCCATCAATAATGTGGCTATTAATTCTTTAGTGGATTTTGGTATATCTAGATCTGACCAGTAGTTTAGAATGAGAGTTTTGTTTCCATAGGTGTATTAAAACAAGTCATAATATAAATCCGATTTAAAACCTGTTCCCAAAATGCTGTGATAACCTCCGCCTCCACCGACAATGCTTAAATGAACTCACTTCTCCACACAATGGAGCACACTTAGAAGACATATGAGCAGTGTTCCCTCTAAGCTGAGTTAGTGTGAGCTAGCTCACCGTTTTTTAGCCTCTGGCTCACACCTTTTTGTCTGAGCTCAGGAAGGAGTGCTCCACAGCAAACTAGTTTATGCAGTAGCCAAATTGCTTGCTCACAACTTTAATGCCAGTAGCTCACAAAGTAGAATTTTTGCTCACAAAACTCCACAGCTTAGAGGGAACATTGCATATGAGACAATTTCAGAGGGGTTAATTATCCATGAGACAGAATTTAAAAGGTTTGAAGCTGCCCTGAGCCTGCCCCGGCAGGGAATAAAGCAAATAAATAAATAAATATCTAATGAAGAGGTATTAAAGATATAAGATGACCAGCTCCGAGACCATTGATCTTTGGATAAATCCAGCTGACAGCTTCCTTTGCCACTTTTTTTGATACGATGTCTGTTTAACACTATCCGAAGAGATCAACGTTTTGTATGTTGTGGAAAGAGTACCCCATTTCAAGTCAGTTTCGAGAGGGTAGCACTGTCAATCTGCAGTAGAAGGGCTAGATTCGAGTCCAGTAGAGACCAACAAGGTTTTTGGGGGTTGAGTTTTCAGGGATCAAAGCTCTCTTCATTAGGTGACGGTGATGGAGCCTTGATTCTCAAAGTCTTACATACCCCCAAGATATTATCGGTCTCTAGGGTGCTGCTGCCCTGTCCTGGATGGCCCAGGCTAGCTCAGTCTTGTCAGATCTCAGAAGCTAAGCAGGGTCGGCTCTGGTTAGTATTTGGATGGGAGACCTGCAGGGAATACCAGGGTCATGACGTGGAGGCAGGCAACAGCAAATCACCTCTGAATGTCTCTTTATCTTGAAAACCCTACGGGGTTGCCATATGTCAGCTGTGACTTTGACGGCCAAAAAAAAAAAAAAAGATGTACACTTCATACAGCTGCTGAAGTGAGCTCTGGCTCAGGAAAGCTTATGCTGGAATAAATGTGATTAGGCTTCAAGGTGCTCCTGGATGTCTGTCTGATTTTGCTAACATGGCTCCCGTTCTGGAATGATTCTGTAGAAAAGAGCAAGAGTCCGGTAGCACCTTAAAGATTTAGCAAAATATGTGGCAGGGTAGGAGATTTCGTGAGTTATTTTTTTTTTTTTTTTATTTATTGCATTTTTTCCCCGCCCTCCCCGCGAACGGGCTCAGGGCGGCTTACACGGGGGCACAAGCCCATGCATAAAAACAATATAAAACATTAAAAGCTGTTAAGTCACAACAAAGACAAATAAAGTGCTCCATACAACAAGATGGTCTCTGAAAATAGTATCAATCATTTCATTAGGGCGAAATTGTCCTGTCGATGGTCGAAGCCAGTCCAGCAGCATCAGTGCCATGCAGAATTATGGCAGTTCTTCCGAGGACCACTCCCAACTCTGTTGTTCCAATGATGGTAATAATAGAGGTGGCAGAGAATGGTGGCTCCCTTCTTCAGATACAGCTAAAATGGGAGTCCATCTGTCTTATTTATTGGAAAGTGATTTCAAATGCTCAATGACAATAGCAGGTGAATGACAATAGCAGATGTGATTGGATTTAGGTAAGATATGCAGAGGAGTAATAGGCATGGAGAAATCAGCATTGCTAATGAGACAGGAAACCTAGGTCTCGATTCAGTCCAGGTGGATGCAATGTCTTGAGCTTCATTATCAGTTGCAATGCAGCAGTCTCTCTAATCTCCCTTTGAAATTCCTTTGTAAGAGAATGATTCTGTACAGGCTGTTCTGAACCACCACTGCTCCCTGCTAACCCTATAGGCACTGAAGTTCTTCCTCATTTTCTAGAGGGGGAAAAAATTCTGTTTGGATGCTGAGCAAGGTCAGCCCTGCTTAGTACTGGGATGGGAAACCACCAAGGAAGTCCAGGGCTACTATGCAGAAGGAGGCCACCTCTGTTTGTCCATTGCCCTGAATGCCCCGTTGTTGGAGTCACTATGAGTTGGTGGCAACTTCTTCTTGCCCACCATTGCCTGGAGGCCTGTCTCCATAGCCCACTCCAGGGGCAGGAGTCCAGGACCAGTATAAAAGGGTCACAATCTTGGCAACAAGACAGACCGTCTCACCACCTGCCTGCTCTTTTGGTTCATCTGTCTTTTCCTGCCTCCCCCCCCCCCTCCGTCTTTTGTTTTTTTAATTCCTGTAGCCCTGTAAATAGATAATGGAAGTTAATTAACTTGAAGTGAATGCTCACAACGGTTATTAGCTGCATGGAAATTAACTGCACTTGGCTCTTAATTGCTTCCTAATAGAGCATGTGTTGGACATTTGAGGGCACTTCCCCCTCCTGCGGCTTCTGAAGCAAAGATTGGCTTTGCGATGTCTAGTAATCGCCTTGATCCTTAGGATTGTTTGGTTTGTCGAGCCACTGTTTCATTTCTGGGCTATAGCCATGAAATACTGTGAGGATGGGATAATAGAATCTTGGATTTGGAAGGGGTCCTGCAGGCCATCTAGTCCAGCCCTCTGCTCAATGCAGGATCAACCTGGAGCATCCCTGACAAGTGTTCGTCCAGCCTCTGCTTAAAGATTGCCAGTGAGGGGGAGCTCACCACCTCCCTCGGCAGCCGATTCCACTGTTGCACAACTCTTGCTGTCAAGGAGCTTTTCTTAATATCCAGCTGGTACCTTCCCGCCCTTAGTTTAAACCCATTCTTGTGAGTCCTCTCCTCTGCTGCCAACAGGAACAGCTCCCTGCCCTCCTCTGAGTGACAGCCCTTCAGATACTTCAGTAGGGTAATCCTGTCCCCCCTCAATGTCCTCTTCTAGTCCCAAGTCCCTCAGCCTTTCCTCATAGGGCCTGGTCTTTAGACCCTGATCATCCTTTTCGCTCTCTCCTGCACCCCATCTGTTCTGTCCACATCCTTTTTGAAGCGAGGCCTCCAGAGCTGCAAGCAGTCCCTATGAGTACATGGGAAGTGCTTTCTCTTGTGCTTGAACAACTAAGCCTTTAACTTCACAACAACCTTGTAAGGGTGTGTTGGGCTGAAAGAGGGCGACTGTCCTATGGAGTTCCGTGCCCGAGCAGGGATTTGAACCCGGTCTCCCATGTATTAGTCTGACCCTCTGATCAGGGGTCGGCAACCTTTTATAAATAAAGGGCCAAATGAAGTCGAAATTCAGAGCACAGAATCAACAAACAGCAAATATTAGTGAGCTCATTTGCATAACTGAAAATATTCAGCTTGACATTCCTGATAATCGGCCTGTACATTATCCATAAAATTTCTGTAGTGAAGGGAGCGCTTTAAATCCAATCTCTTCTTCTTCTACGAGACTTTGTGACGGAACATCAGGCGGATCTGGTGTGCGTGACCGAGACCTGGGTGAGAGAAGGGGAGACCCTGAATCTCACCCAGTTAGCCCAGCCGGGCTACTCGGTCCTCCACCAATCACGGAAGAAGGGTCGGGGGGGCGGAGTTGCTATTCTCATTCGGGAGGCTTACTCCTTCAGGGCACTCCCGTCTGTAGAGATCGCGGGCTTAGAGTGTGTCGACCTGCTGCTGGGGGCTGAGGAGAGTTTGGCGATTTGGCTGGTGTACCGACCGCCTAATGCACCGGCCAATAGTCTGCCGTCCCTGCTGGATGTCGTATCAGGCTGGGCGTTGGATCACCCTCGACTTATAGTCCTGGGAGATTTCAACGTCCATGCTGAGGACGCGGCCTCCAGCCGGGCTACGGACCTAGTGTCGTCCATGGCGGCACTGGGACTCTCGCAGTGTGTATCAGCCCCTACGCATCAGGCCGGTCACATGCTCGATTTGATCTTTGCAGCGGGTGTGGAGGTGGGCCGGATCACTGTTGAAACAGTGCCATGGTCGGACCATCTGGCCCTGAAGGCCCGTCTGAGCCCGTCTGTATAGGCGGTGGGCGTATTTTTGCTCGCCCGCGGAGCTTGATGGACCCGGAGCGGTTCCAGAGGGCTCTGCGGGACTCATGACCCCCTGGTGCCTCATTAGATGAGCTGGTGGAGGACTGGAATGTCCGACTCTCCGCGGCCATCGACGAGATCGCTCCCAGGCGTCCTCTTTGCACTCGTGTTAGGCGCGCCCCCTGGTATACCCAGGGGTTACAGGCGTTGAAGCGAGAACAGACGATTAGAGAGACGGTGGCACCGCGCTCATGACAAGGCCTCGAGAACATCTTATAGGACGTTTATGAGATCCTATGAGATGGCAGTCAAAGCCGCTAAGAAGGATTTCTATGCGGCTGAGATTGCATCTGCGAGCTCGCGCCTGGCCCAATTTATTTAGTATAATTCGGAATTTGACAACCTTGACTCAGGGTGAGCAAAAAGTTAAGGAATTGGAACTTGGCTGTGAGGCTTTTGTGAGCTTTTTCGCAGATAAGGTCTTGGGGCTCCGCCGTGACCTCTCCGCCACAATTGAGACAGTGAGTGAACTTGAGGCCCCTTGCACGTCTTCGGGGCCGGGTTTAGAGTGTTTCACTCTACTCAGCTTGGACGAAGTGGACAGATGGCTCGTTTCTGTACGCCCAACTACATGCGACCTTGATCCGTGCCCCTCCTGGCTCATTAAAGCGAGTCCTGAGGGGCTACGAGGCGCAGTGCGGGACATTGTCAACACTTCCCTCTTGGAGGGGCGTTTCCCGACTATGCTCAAGGAAGCAATGGTCCGCCCTCTCTTAAAAAAACCATCTCTAGACCCGGCCAAATTGGCCAACTATCGGCCGGTGTCTAATTTGCCCTATTTGGGCAAACCTATAGAGAGGGCGGTGGCGCTACAGTTACAGGGCTTTCTGGAGGATGCTTCAGTCTTAGATCCCTTCCAGTCCGGCTTCTGCCCGGGCCACGGGACTGAGACGGCCTTGGTTGCCCTGACTGACGATCTCCAGAGACATCTGGATCGCGGCGGTGTGGCGGCACTGGTGTTGTTAGATCTGTCGGCAGCGTTTGACACTGTCGACCATCAGTTGCTGATCTATCGCCTCGCTGACGGGATTCAGGGGCTTGCCCTTCAATGGTTTGCCTCTTTCCTGCAAGGTCGGGGACAAAGGGTGGCTTTCGGGGACCAGCGCTCCTGTAGGTATCCCCTTGAGTGCGGGGTACCACAGGGGGCAGTGCTGTCCCCGATGCTATTTAACATCTATATGCGCCCCCTTGCCCAGATTATCTGGAGTTATGGGCTGGGATGTCACCAATATGCTGATGACACCCAGCTCTATCTGATGTTGGGCGGCTGGTCGGACTCGACTCCCGATGACCTTCATCGGGCACTTGAAGCTGTGGCTGGTTGGCTCCGGCTGAGTCGATTGAAACTAAACCCAGCGAAGACGGAGGTCCTGGGCCTGAGTCGGGCCGGGACAGGATTGGGGCTCCCTCTCCCGACCTTCGATGGGGTACCTTTGGTGCCTGCGTCTGGGGTTTGGAGTTTGGGAGTACACCTGGACTCCGCGTTAACGATGGAGTCACAGGTGGCAGCCACGGTCAAGTCTGCCTTTTTCCATCTTCGGCGGGCTCGGCAGTTGGCCCCCTACCTGGACTGAGATGACCTGGCCACAGTGATCCACGCGACGGTCACCTCGAGGCTAGACCACTGCAACGCTCTCTACATGGGGCTACCTCTGTCGCAAATCCGGAGGCTGCAACTGGTGCAGAATGCTGCGGCCAGGCTGTTAATGGGTCTCTCTAGAAGAGACCACATTCAGCCTGTGTTGAAAGCGCTGCACTGGTTGCCAAAAGCATACCGGATTCGCTTCAAAGTGCTGGTTCTTACCTATAAAGCCCTACATGGTCTGGGTCCAGCCTACCTGAGGGACCGCCTTTCCCCGTATGTTACCCCAAGAGCACTACGGTCTGGGGCCCCAGAGACGCAAAATTGGTCGCTACAAGGGCCAGGGCCTTTTCGGTGGCGGCCCCTGCCTGGTGGAATGAGCTCCCGGAGGAGATCCAGGCCCTGCGGGATTTGATGCAGTTCCGCAGGGCCTGTAAGATGGAGCTCTTCCACCAGGCTTTTGAGTAGGGGCCGCCGCCACCCCCCCCCCGTTATATTGTCATCATGGGGGGGTGGGAGAGGCCCTAGGAAGGGAACATCTGAACTTGTTAACACCTAAAGAAATACTGAAGCCACTAAATGACCACTGGGAATGCCCGGATATGGTCCGTCATCTTTTCTGGGGTTTGGGAATGGAAGATCATTGACCACCTTAATTGTATTTTTGGATCGGTTTTAAATTGTATAGTATGTTTTAAATTTTGGAACATTATATTTTTATCTGCAAGATTTATTGCCCTGTAAGCCGCCCTGAGCCCTATGGGGGCGGGCGGGATATAAATCTGAATAATAAATAAATAAATAAATTCACCTCTTATCACTTTCCTTTCAGTAAAACATCTCTCAGAAGCTGTTTAGTTCCATAAAAACCTTTGTCTGCCCATTCCATTACCGTAATACTTACTCTAGTATTCCACATGTGTGTATGGGTTATGTGCCATCAAGTGGCTTCTGACTTAATGCGACCCTCTGAATGAATGACCCCCAAAACGTTCTGTCGTTAACGGCCTGGCTCCGGTCTTGCAAACTGAGGGCCCTCGTGACTTCCTATACGGAGTCGATCCATCTCATCTTGGGTCTTCCTGTTTTCCTGCTATTCCGCTTACCCCTACAATATAGTCCAGCATAAAGATTTCATTTTCTTTTTAAAAGAGCCGCATTTGGTTCTAGAGCCATAGGCTGTAGCCCCCATCCACTGCACCAACCTGGCTGTCGATGGGAGGAAGGGAACCACGGCGCATGCGGGCTCTTAAGTTCCATTCTCAGCGAGGGATGTGGACCTGTAGGTTACAGCCATGGGCTACACGGGGGGAAGTTCCCTTTGGAGAGCTGGATTTGATGGAAGAGAGAGAGAGAAGCAGTGCCACATAGGTATGGAGAGCCAGTGTACTGTAATGGTTGGACCTGGCCTGTAACTCCGCCCCCTTCCTTAAAGGGCCAGCCCCCTTTCTTAAAGCCCCCCACTTCTTCCCAAAAGCATTTAAAGGGATCCTTTAAACGCTTTTGAGAAGAAGCGGGGTGGTGGTGTGCGCCCCTCTCCCTCCCTCCTTCAAGATTTAAAGGGCCCTCCGTCTGATTGGTGGGCCACGTTCTCCCTGCCGATCAGCTGAACGGCCTTTTAAATCTTGTAGGAGGGGAGGGAGAGGGGCACGTGCCGCCCCCCCTTCATTACAGCAAATAATGGCAGCCCCACCAGAAAACATATTGCCCCACAAGCCACAAAATCCTGGCTACGGGCCTCAGTTAGACTAGGATCTGGGAGACCCAGGTTCGAATTCCGACTCTGCCATGGAAAATTGTTGGGTGTCTTTAGGCCAGTCACGCTCTCTCAGGCTATAACCTACCTCACAGGGTTGTTGTGAGGGTAAAATAGAGGGATGAAGAGCGTAAGCTGTTTCCCCGTTGGGGAAAATGATGGGATATAAATGCAGTAAAATATCCAGGGAAGGAGTCAGAGGCATAAGGGGATGCAAAAATAAGGTTCTCAAGTGTATTTCCTTCTTCCTTAGCTGTATTTAATTGGCCAGTTGGAAGATTATCGCCATGAGTTTTATTGAATATGGTGAAACGATTAAAGAAGGCGACACAGCCATCGTCTTCCTGGGCCACGAGTCAATGTTCCCAGTGAAAGTGCAACATGGTGGTAAAACTCAGACCAAATACGGTGTGATCAGACACTCCAGCGACCTGATCGGCAAGCGGTATGGCTCCAAGGTGACCTGTAGCAAAGGAGGCTGGGTGTATATTCTTCACCCAACCCCAGAACTGTGGACTCTGAATCTCCCCCACCGAACTCAAATTCTGTATTCAACCGACATCTCTTTAATCACCATGATGCTGGAGCTGAAACCGGGATCTGTGGTGTGTGAGTCAGGTAACGTGTTCTTCTTGCAAAGCTTTTATGGTGTAAATGGAAAGATTTTGCTTTTATTATTGCTGTTTTCCAGATGGTGGTGTTCAAGACGATTGAAAGCCAGTTTGGTGTAGTAGTTAAGAGTGGCAGACTCTAATCTGGAGAACCGGGTTTGATTCCCCTCTCCTCCACAGGCAGCTGCTGGTGTGACCTTGGGTCAGTCACAAGTTCTCTGAGAGCTATTCTCCCAAGAGCAGTCCTCAAAAGAGCTCTCTCAGCCCCCACCTACCTAACAGGGTGTCTTTTGTGGGGAGGGGAAGGGAAAGGAGATAGTAAGCCACTCTGAAACGCCTTCGGGCAGTGAAGGGCGGGGTATAAATCCAATCTCTTCTTCTTCTATAGCAAAATAGGGATTCAAACCTTGATCTCCTGAATCCTAGCCCAAAACTCTAACTGCTGCCCCACACTGATGTATATGCACTAGCCCCAGCAGAAGAAGAAGGTTTGGCTGAGAGTGCATGGCTGGTCCAGCACATGGATATGTGTTGACTTTTGTGGGATGTCGCTTCTCATTGTGGGGGAAATGCCTGAGCAGTCATTTTGTATGTGTGGTTTGCTGTTGGATTGGAAACATAAGAACATAAGAAGAGCCCTGCTGAATCAGTCCTGTGGTACAAACAGTCCAGCATTTTGTTTTGTACAGAGGCTAAGCAACAGGGCATATAGAGCCCAAGGCGCCCCCCCCCCCCGACATCGTCTCGTAGCTGCTGCTATTTAGAGGCTTGCTGCCTGTGAACATGGATGTTCCCTTTGGTTACCATGCCTCATAGCCATTGATGGGCTGCTCCTTCAGGAATGTATCTAATCGTTTCTTAAAGCCATTCACGCTTGTGGCCATCCCTGCATCCACTGAAAGAGAACTCCACAGTTTAATGACTCAAGTAAAGGAGAAATTTCATTTTGTCCGCCAGGAATCTATTGCCCATCTGCTTAATTGGGTGTTCCTGAGTTCTAGTATTATGGGAGAAGGAGAAAATGTTCTCTCTTTCTACTTTCTCTACCCTGTACATAATTTTATGAACTTCTGTCATGTCTCCCTTTAATTGTCTTTTTTCTAAACTGTAAAGCACCAAACTCGCCCCCCTTCTCATAGGAAAGGGGCTCCAAACCCCTAATCATCTTTGATGCCCTTCTTTTTTTTTCCTTTCCGGCCCTGCAATGTCTTTTTTGAGGTACAGAAACTGAAACGGCACACAGAATTCCAAGTGAGGCTGCACTTTAAATATATACATGGGTGCTACAATGTCGTCTGTTTGGAGACCGAGCCCTATGAGGAAAGGCTGCGGGACTTGGGAATATTCAGTCTGGAGAAGAGGAGGCTGAGAGGGGACATGATTGCTGTGTGGTGGAGGGGTTAGGAGCACAGACTCTAATCTGGGAGAACCGGGTTTGATTCCCCACTCCTCCACTTGCACCTGCTGGATGACCTTGGTGTGCTCCCTCTCACTGGCAGTCTTTAAGCAGCAGCTGGACAAACACTTGTCCAGGTATACTCTAGGCTCATCCTGCACTGAGCAGGGGGGGTTGGACTAGATGGCCTGTAGGGCCCCTTCCAACCCTGTGATTCTATGATTTTCAACTCCTTTCCTAATGATCCCTGGCATGGAGCTTTTTCATAACTGTGTTGTGGTGGTGGTTTTTCGAACTCGGAGCACAACCAGAGGAGCAGCTCGGGCTACTCCCACCCTTGAGAGGCTCTAGTCAGTGTTACGGTGCATAGACGCAACTGAAGGATGTGTCCTGTAGGAACTAACGGTCCTCCCCCTCCCATAAAACTCCCTTCTGCTGGTAATGTCACAATCTCGTTTAAAGACTTCCAAGGTGGCTTGCCGCAGGTATTAAATACATTGGCTTGGATCCTAATAAGCTGTCTTTCCACTCACATAAGATTGGAAGGGTAATTTTTTGCTGATTCCCGCCTCTCGCTGAAGCCTTCTGCTTCAATCTCTGTGATTTTCTGGAGGGCCTGCTGACCCTCCGGGGAGAATAATTGGGGTGGGGTATAGACAACTGTGAGGGGAGGCTGGAAAGGTATTGCTTATTCAGTGTAGCTCTACTTGTATTAAATCCAGGCTCAAAGGAATAAATTGGTTTAAAAAAAACACCACAGTTCTAGTAAGAAGAAATAGTCACTAAAAGCTAGGGGTGCCAGCTTTGGGTTGGGAAATACCTGGAGATTTTTTGGGGGGTGGAGCCTGGGGAGGGCGGGGTTTGGGGAGGGGAGGGGCTTTAATGGGGTATGATGCCATGGAGTCCACCTTCCAAAGCAGCCATTCTCTCCAGGTCAATTGATCTCTGTCGCCAGGAGATCAGTTGTCGCCAGGAGATCACTTCTTTGCATATTAGGCGACACACCCCTAATGTAGCCAATCCTCCAAGAGCTTATAGAGCTCTTCTTACAGGGGCTACTGTAAGCTCTTGGAGGATTGGCTACATGAGGGGTGTGTCGCCTAATATGCAAAGGAGGTCCTGCTACAAAAAGAGCTGCGGTGGGTCAAGGGGTTAAGATGCTGAACTGCAGGCTGTGGAAGGTCAGTAGTTCAGCAGTTCGAGACCCGGGTGCCGCAAGACTGGGTGAGTTCCCGTCTCTAGTTCCAGCTCCTGCCAACCTAGCAGTTTGAAAGCAAGAAATTGCAAGTAGATAAACAGGTACCACTTCAGTGGGAAGGTAACAGTGTTCCGTGCACCTTGGTGTTTAGTCATGCCAGCCACATGACCACGGAAACGTCTTCGGACAGCGCTGGCTCTTCGGCTTTGAAACGGAGATGAGCACCGCAACCCTAGAGTCGGATTCGACTGGCTTTCGAGCAAGGGAACCTTTACCTTTTTTTAATGGCTCGAGAGCTCCAGCCACCATTTGGAGCATCAAGCCGTTTACACTTCGCTCCATTGTGATTCAGACTTCTTCCAGCTATTGGGCTCCGTCTTTGTTCCTATTATGGTCATTGCACCTTGGTCATTGCACCTTTGAATTTTACTGTTTTTGGAAGAAGATATCTATGCCTCTTGACAAAGGTTTTTTTCTGAGACGGCTCATATCATCGGCAGCACCTCTATTGAGGGAAGAGATAAACAACTGCAGTGGCATTTCGGATGCCTTCATTGTGTCTTCTTGAGATTAGAGAAGAGAATAAAAGACTGAGGTGGCTGAATTGTCACCTTCATTGCGTCTGCTTTAAGACTCATGTTCATTAGAATAGTATTCTATTCAGCTACATTTTCTTTGTCAGCTTTATACTTTACAGAGTTTGTAGTTCATACTGTGTTAAATATACTTGTAATTCCTCGTGGAATCTTTGTAATATTTTAGAATATTCATGTTCATTTACATGTGATTATTATGATCCTTTATTTCAATTAGACTGTAGTTTCATGCATTGATGACTGGTATTTTTTTGTCTCTGGGGAGTTATTCTTGCTTTTTGCCTGTGACTCTTCCCCATTCCTGTTTGTTTAACCACCTGGAGGTTGGCAACTGTACTTGTAGCACTCCCGAAAGGTGCGGATTTCTAGCTCAGTTACTAGACCACAAGCTTGTGTGTTCAAGGTGGGATTCTTGGCCCTTTCGCTGAAAGGATCTGGTGTGTTGGGGCTAAGAAACTTGAGAACTTGAAGGGTACTACCTAGGCGATATGGTCTCATTCCACTTGAGCCCAGCTTCCTACATTCCTGAGTTCATGTTCTCAAGCGAAGCAGCATTGTTTTGATTCCTTTCCTCCCGATCTGTTTTGTGTAAGTCTTGGCAGGCTTCAGGAGCGTGACCATGTCTTTCTTGGACTGCTCAAGTGCCATCTGTCATCCTGTTTCCTTATTCCCAGATCAGAAGTGTTTTCCTGTGTGTGTGAGAAAATTCGTGCTGCTGGTAAACAGTTAAGGGGCTGATTTACACTGGGTTTTTTTTTTTTTTTGCATATTTCCCGATTTCGTTAGTTATTAAGCATCTAGGAGCTGCGGTGGCTCAAGTGGTTAAGACACTGAACTGCAGGCTGTGGAAGGTCGGTAGTTCAGCAGTTTGAGACCCGAGTGTGCCGCATGACGGAGTGAGCTCCCATCTCTAGTTCCAGCTCCTGCCAACCTAGCAGTTCAAAAGCAAGAACAGCATTCCGTGCGCCTTGGTGTTTAGTCATGCCGGCCACATGACCACGGAAATGTCTTCGGACAGCGCTGGCTCTTTGGCTTTGAAACGGAGATGAGCACCGCAACCCTAGAGTTGGATTCGACTGGCTTTCGAGCAAGGGAACATTTACCTTTTTTTTTAAAGCATCTAGAGCCAACCTTCCCATTGAAAACTGCATCCCTCAAGGTGTGTTACAGTAATTTGAGAATGTCGTAAAAATAACTTTATATGCAGTGGGAGCGTAAGAAAGGCAGCTGTGTCTCAGGGGTGGAGCATCTGCTTTGTTTGCAGAAAGTCTCAGGTTCAATCCCTTACATCTCCAGTTAAAAGGATCAGGTAATAGGTGTTGTGAAAGACATCTGCCTGAGACCCTGGAGAGCAGCTGCCAGCCACAGTAGACAAGGGATTATGGTGCCCGCCAACCCCTTTCTGGGCACCCACCAAATGTTTTTTAGAAAGCGGGCAGGGCCAAGTGGGGCTTTTACCCAGCAAAGCTTCTTACTGGCCACTGGAGAGTTAATGGGCTGGACAGATTCTTTAAAATGTTGCTTTGGCAGCAGCTACCACAGCACAAGATTCTTCATTGTGTGACTGAAGTTAAGCTGAGGCAGCCATTTTGTGGCTGGCTTCACCTGCTTCAGCAGCCATTTTGTGTTGATCATTTTGTGGCTGCATCCACCACGCTGTGTCAGAATTCCAGATGTGCCCGTAGGCTCAAAAAGGTTGGGGACCCCCGAAGTAGACAAAACTGAGCTTGATATAGTCCAAGCATCAGACTCGGGGTAAGGCAGCATAATATGTGTGAGTTCAAGTTACTACAAGATGCTCAGCCACCACAGTAAAA